TTATGATGACATACTTGAGCGCCATTATAGCTCCGAGCGGGGCTTGGCTCTGAGGATGAATGAACTACGAGCTCTCAAAGGTGTCTTCAATGGTTCTTATCAAGGGTCTTCAAGGGTCGTCTTCAAAGTCTCAAAGAAAAAGAGTCAAGGGTTCTAAATGGCCGGCGGGCCTTAGCAAGTCATTTTATCATACCAATCAAACTTCATGACTGCAATTACTTCTTCCTTCCTCTTTGCTTATGTGTCTCAATGTTTCTTTATCATGTGTCTTTCTCTCGCTATGACTTATACAATCTCAAGCTGTCTTTATCATGTTTCTTTATCCAATCCATGCTCTTCTATTGATGGTCGATGTGTTTACCTCTGCTCAACTTCTTCTCTCTTGACTAGCCTAATAATTATTACGTGCCACCACCTAGACAGACACACGAGCATATAACTACAACATAATGCGCGATGCAGTAGAATTAAGCTGCATAAGTGCGACTTGCACTCACTTATTAGGGTCTCACAGCTATTACTACCTCGCAACGCAAGCCCTTTATTGTGCCACACCACAGTGCAGTAGAGTGCAGTGCAGTCATCTAGTAAAACCTAAACGAGCAACGTGTACACCCGCCAGACTCGAAAATTCCCATTTAAGTGCCAACGCACCTTAGCTTTGCGCAATCTGTCCCTCTCTACACCGCCGCACTCAATGGTTCACCAGGCTTCCCTAACACTCGAGCGCTCTATCACGCCCCTCATGCTTACCGCATAATTTACAAGTCTCTAGTCTTCAGCCACAGCACTATGCATAGGCATAAGTTAGGCATAAAGTGGGATCAGGTTTGCGAGAAGCACAATGGAGAAGCAGAAGTAATGTATGTGGGTGATGTTTTAAACAGCGCTCTGCTTGGATGTATTCTGTCACTCCTAAGCCTTGATATTTGCAGGCTGCTTAAAGTACTTGCTAGGAATAAACGGCATCCTCGTCACCACCGCCTTTCTCTTCTTTCCCCTGACCAAAACCTGTACTTCGGTTCCAGCCTTGTGCATGCCATCCTTGATATATCCCATTGAGATGTTCTTCTTCAGTGTCGGCGAGGGACACCCGGACGTGATACTCCCAATTTCCTCGCCCGCATCGTTGACAATCTTTGCGCCTTCGCGCGCAGGCGCGCCATCAATGATGAGACCAATGCGCCGCCGTGACACGCCGCCGCCTTCTGACTTCTTTTTAAGTTGGCGCAGGATGACTGAGTCGCCGTGGAAGCCGCCCTTTTCGCGGCGATCCTTGCCGATGATCCAAGAGAGGCCCGCTTCGACAGGTGTGGTGGTGTCGTCAAGATCGTGGCCGTAGAGACACATGCCCGCTTCTAGACGGAGGGTGTCGCGCGCGCCTAGACCAGCGAGGCGAAGCTCGTCTTTTGAGGAGTCGAGCAGGAACTGTGTGATGGCTTCTGTGGCGTAGGGAGGAATGCTGATTTCGAAACCGTCTTCGCCTGTATAGCCGCCACGGCTGACGAGGACTTCTGCGTCGGTTCCTTTGATAGTCGCGGGGCTGCATTGGCCAAAGTAGAGAGATTTCAAGTCGGCTTTGGACTTCTCTTCTAGCACGCGAGCGAGGATCTCGGCTGATAAGGGGCCTTGGAGGGCGATGAGTCCTTGGCCATCGAGGATTTTCCAGTCAACGGGCTGGTCTGGGTGCGCTGATTTCCAGGCTTCGAGCTGCTCTTTGAAGTAGGCCGTGTCCTTTTCCCGGCAACCAGCATTGGTGACAACGTAGAATTTACCTGGTAGGCGTGTGACTACGGTGTCATCTACAATACCGCCTGTTCCAGGATGTAGCAAGGTGGAGAGGGTGGATTGGCGCTCTGGAAGTGTGGACAGGGAGGACGGAGTGATGCTCTCGAGGAAGGCTTCAGCGCCTGGTCCAGAGAAGTGATGTTGAACCCTGAAACAGTCGTCAGACGTTGCCAATTGCGTCCTCTTGAAATGTCCTTACATGTGACCGACATCGAACAAGCTTGCTTTTTCGCGCGTCCAATTGTGCGAATCAATGATGCTCAAATCGCTATACTGCACTGGCATATCATAACCGCCAAAGGGCACAAACTTGGCGCCATACTTGCTATGCAAATCATACAGCCCAGTCCTACTGGGTCCCTGCTGTTTCTCTCCTACCTCTGACGAGGCAAAGCGAACATGTAGTAGTTGTGATTCTATGGCGACGACCTTGCGGGGTTGTGAGGCTCCCACTCGGCTGACACGGGATCTTGACGAGAACTGCGCCGTGTGCTTGAATTCTGCCCTCAAAAGTCGTGGTCCAGTGGCATTGAGGGCTGGACGCAGCACTGTAACCGCTTTTTTCGACGCCATAGTTTCTGGTTGTGGAGAAGAGAAGGGAGATTTGGGATGCGACTCTTTCTCTCCCAAGGGCGGGCACTGACGGTCGGCGGTGTTATATACAAGCTCGAGGACCCACGCCAATGACGGCAGGCCGACACTAACGCTAAAGCTATCGCAGCTTCCCCGTAGGACAACCACCGCATCCCATTAACCCATACGGCGATTCTTCCCCCATTTCGCCTACGCCCATACTGCCTGGCTTTTTCTGCGCCTGCGCCCCGACCGCCCGCCCGCCGAGACAGTTCGCAGCAACCATGTCAAAGGGCAAGACGTATTTACTCGTGTCGCTGCCGACGTCCATTTCGCCGTCAAACCACGTCGACGAAGCTCTCACAGCTCTGCGCAGCACCGTGACCAATGACGTAGGGACCACCTCCCCCTTTGCCATACCCAACTTCAAGATTGGCACTCTGGATGCGCTCGTACAGCAGGCGGATGATCTGGCCAAGCTGAATTCCGTGTGTGAGGGTGTGGTTGGCAAGGTGGGGGAGAGCCTAAGGCAGATATTGGACGGAGACGAAGGGAAGGTGCAACAGCAGAAGACAATCAACGACAGTAAGCCGACTTGCTTCTGTTGAACCTGGTGGGGAGAGCACCGCAGCTTACATAGTCTCTAGAGCCAGTCGACCAGTACCTGCGGAGTTTCCAGTGGAACAAGGTCAAGTATCGCGCAGACAAGCCCATCAAGGATCTGATAGACTCGCTACAAAAGGTAGTAGCCAGCGCTCTCCACACAAAGATTCGGACCTCTCTCTGACCATGTCCAGGAAATCCAAGGCATTGACAACGACGTCAAATCCAAATTCTCCCAATATACCCAGACCAAATCCGCCCTCGCAGCCGCAGAACGCAAACGCACCGGGAACCTTGCCACCAAATCCCTTGTCAACATTGTCCCTCCTTCTGCCCTCGTCCGCGACTCAGAATACCTCGAAACACACCTAGTCGCTGTTCCCAACACTGTCGTCAAGGACTTTTACAAGCAATACGAAGAGCTATGTCCGATGGTTGTACCACGGTCGGCAAACAAGTTGGCAGCGGATGGCGAATTCACGTTGTTCAGCGTCATAACGTTCAAAAAGTATTCGACAGAGTTTGTACATAAGTGCAGGGAGAAGCGATGGACACCGAGAGATTACAAATACAAGGAAGGTGGTAAGGAAGAGGAAGCCAAGGAGGCAGATCAATTAGCGAAAGATGAGAGGAAGCTTTGGGGCGAGGCGCTCCGGTTGGGCAGGACGGGATATAGCGAGAGCGCCATGATATGGATCCACGTACTTGCGTTAAGAGTGTTTGTTGAGACGGTGCTACGGTATGGATTGCCGTTGGATTTTGTGTGCGGAATTGTGCAGGTAAGGATGCATGGCATATAAGACGCCGATTTGAAACTGACACAGGGCAGACGGACCCAAAAGCAGCAAAGAAAGCAAAAGCGAACCTCGATGCAGCATACTCGTACCTCGGGGGAAACGCATTCGGCCGCGATAACAAGGGTCGTATCAAGAAGGACGATACGGCCACGACGAACGATATGCAACAAGCAGGTCATTTGGTGGACCAAGAGTACACAGCATACGTCTACTATGAATTTGAGGTTGTGTAGTCGAAGAGTCATGCGTAGGAGCATATTGGAAGAAGTCTGTAGAGATCATTACAGGCAAAATTGTGCATAGTTGACTCGACGGCGCACGATTGACGCGATTATGCCTTTTTAAAACATCTTATCATGCTTATAGAACATGTATCCAGGATCCAGATACATCGATTTCAGCGACTGGAATGATACACTACCAACACTGCCCAAGTATCTATGGCCTAAAGCGACCTAGCGCTTCCGTGAACACGTGAACACGTGAATTGTCCATCCAGGTCGAACGCGTCAACCTCGTCACGACAGACGTCCACCTTCAAGACATTTCACACAATTTCCACACGACCTGACAATGAGCAAAGCGAGCGTCGAACAAGCACTTAGCGGACTTGTACCAGCCCTCAACGGTCCTCTGCCACCGGAACTCCTCGAACTCGCCCTCTCATTTCTCGCACGCTCCCGCAGCGTCGCAAGCTCCTTGAAACCAGACGAAGAGATAGCACGACCCTATGCCTGCGCTCAATTAGCTTGTGAAAGGTAATTATCATCATAGAAGGTGTCCAGATATAAGCGCCTGATTTCTACAGGCTCAAGAAACGACTCAACTTACCCACCATTACATCACGACCCCCATGCGCCCCACGCATCTACAAGAAACTCTACGCATACCTCACAAGCGCACTGCTACCCCCGTCCACAACGACTCCCAACCAACCTCAAACACCACGCAAGAACAGAGATGCAGCAACGAACTCCACGCAAAACACGCCGTCAAGAACACCGACGAGCGGGAGAAGAACACCAAAGAGTACACGAGGCGGTGCGCATACATTTGAAGAAGCGCCAGAATGGGTCATGCCTGCTATCCGCTCACTAGTCAAGGCATTTGAGTATCCAGCCGCCGCACCGCATATATACACGGGCGTTGAAACCATACTGCCACTGCTGGCTAGGACGACTGCTGCTGCTGGAGCCGAGACGCCGAGTAAACGCTCACGAGGCTCGGATTCGAGGCGGAACGAGATAACAGACACCCAGATATTAGGCCTGATTGCTGTGGTGTTCCTTTATGTGTTCGCCCGAATGAAGGATGTTGACGTGTCGGAAAAACATTATGCCGTGTGGAGCGAAAGAGCTGTGCGTATGCTTTGTGAGACAGCGGTTGGGGAGACGACGTCGTCTGAGGAGATGTTGCTGGTGATGGAGGCGTTGATGCCGATGGTGCATGAGGAGGGCTGGTTGGACATGGAGTGGTTTTCGAACATTTTGCCCGAGGGGAGTGGGGAGGCTGTGCAGGGTGTGGAGACGACCGAGGGAGATCAGCCAGGGGCCAGCGCTGTAGCGGTAAAGGGGATGGGAAAAGGTATGGGAGGTGGAGGAAGCGAGTACATTGGTTTGGCAACCATGATGCAAGATGCCACGGATTACTTGGGCGAGCGCCAACGAGACAACTATCAGCAGTGGAAATCTCGTATCCTAGAACGCGCTCGGGAAATCGAATCCACTACCTAAAAGCGTCTATAACACACAACCCATAACTACCACTCCTTGCGAAATTCTAGCAAAAAGACTATCCTTATCCAACGCCCCATTCGCCAACGCCTAACCCTCCACCCTTCTCCTCCAACTCCAATGCCCTTTAACCCCCTCCCTCCTCACCGCCTCCCAAACCCGCCAATTCGCACTCCAAACCCCATCCTTCATCTCGATCGCCCTCTTCGCCCTCGCCGCATACTCGCGCGCCTTTGACTCCTCCCCAAAACTACTATACGTCAGCGCCGCAAACCCGTATGCCATATCCATGAAGCCTTCAAGGCCTTGCTCGTGGTGCAGGCGCAGGAGGTGTTCAGCCATGGAGGGCGTGGCGGGGGAGGACGGAGTGTAGTCGTTTAGGTGGGATTGGAGGGTGTGGATGAGGGAGAGGGTGGGGTCGGAGTTTGGGGGTGGGTTGGAGTTGGAGTTGCGGTCTGAGGAGGAGTGAGTGGTGGAGGAGAACGAGGGATCGGAAGTACAGCGTGCACAACTGCATGTAAAGCCGAAGGAGGAAAGATGGGATTGCCGGTCTGCGGTGCTGTCGAAGGGGGACGTGTACGCGATTGTTATCTCGTGGCCGCGGGGGATGGCGCGGGTTGCATGGACGTGGTGGGTTAGAGTTGTTGGGTCGATTACATATTGTGCACTGTTTTTTGGCTAAGGTTAGTATAGGGTTTGTTGTTATTGGTGTGACAGGGAACGGCTCAAATTATTTCGGGGGATACGATAGGTGTTTGTTTTCTAGGGAGGATGGCCATAGGCATAGAACAGAACGTACTTTGGTCCACAGTCGTGATTCAGTCGGCTCGTTTCTGGCCAGACTGCTAGGTGGTTTATACCCTGTACTTCAAGCTGAAAGGTGTTTGCCTTGACTATATCCTGCACTTTGACCCTCTCGTCACCATACACAGTCGCCAGGCCCATAAATTTGTCTTTTACACTCTCCTCGCCGTCCTTGCCGTCAGGCAACTGGGAAATCGCAATTCGCCACCACTTCTCGCGGTTCAGGGTGCCCAACTCATCTTCGAGGACGGCAAGAAACGCAGGCGTGTATGACGTGACGCGGTCTCCGAAATCAAGTGTATGGGAAGCCACCATGCCGATGCCTTTACCTGGAATTGTTTCTGTTCGCCAGGTTCCGGTGTCGCCGTTGATGTCTTGTTCTGCTAGGATAGATGCATTGTGGAATACAGGCAGAGAGGCAAAATGATTGGCAAGGTTTGGAGTGGTGAAGATGGATAGACCTCGGCCAGAAGCAAAGGTTGTGCTTGTGTAGACGCACAATGGGGAGTTGAGGGATGGGAGAGAGGGGGTGCAAATGGGGGTGTGAGACCATGGGAAATTTTCTTCTTGCTCTTTTGGCCATGTCTGTACGGGATGTGCCATCTCGTGTATTCCGTTGAGATGGCACGAGAGTTGGACTGTGAGAAGAGGGTAGTCATGCCAGCACTGGCGATTCAATGTGACGTGTGCATGTGCGCTGTGGAGATACGCCAGAGAAGTGATTAATCGTAGCGCGATGAGTCGGATTAAAACCATTATGAGAGGAGATTCGCACTGGAAAGAATTTTTTCAAAGGCAGTGAAAGTATTGACATTTTCGCTCTCGATGAGATGTTCAGCTTCCTTAGGTGCCAAGACTTGGGGTGTTGAAACGTGGGATGTCAGAACTAAGTCTACGAGGCTAAGTCCAGGGCCGCCAAGTCGCTGGTTTCGACAAACATCGATGGATAATGATGGCGCACGTGGGACTTGACGATGGAAAATATGGGTATTGAACTTCGAAAAGCTAACCTGAACACCTGTCAATGCTACATAGATGTGAGACAACATCTTACTCCTCCAAACAATGCCAACCCGGCCTGATTACCAATCTGGCGGTACTGCATTGCCACAAGAGCACATCTGCTGGTTCATCTGCCAGTGGATATTAACACGACGAAGACCTCATTCCGCATTCCCGCTGACTTCTGAACTCCGCTTCTTCTTTTTCTTCTCCTTCTCTTCACCTTCCTCTCGTTTCCGCTTCTTCTTTTTCTTCTCGCCATTCTCTTCTGGCGCCACATACTCGGCCATGCGCTCTTTCCTCTTAGCGTCCATCTTATCTTTCATCTTCTCCTCGCGCTCCTCCCTCGCCTTGCGCTCCTTGGCATGCTTGCCCAAAAAGAATTCTCCACTTTCAATCTGCAGATCCACCTTGCTCTTTTCTTGTGGCGGCGGGAATGGTGTGTATACCTTCTTGCTCTTGTCGGTGACTTTGTGTGGTACTCTCCGTTTGCTGAGCGAGCGCTTCTTGAAGTTGGGAAGGAAGCGGTCCCAGCTTTCATTGACAAGTTCAGGGTCTTTGGCGAGCTCCTTCTTGATCATGAGCTCTTTGATGGCATAGATGGGGTGGATATTGTGCATTGTGTCTTCAATGATGCGGCGCACCGTCTTGAGGCCTTTGAAGGGTCCCATGGCCGCAACCGTGTTTCCTTGTACGAGGAGATATGTTTCTGTGAGAAGCTCCAGTGCTTTGAGTGTAGAACCGTTTGGGCCTAATATGCGCTGCCGCCTCTTCACAAAGCGGTCCTTGTTTCCTACGAGGTTTCGAATCTTGATGATGTCCATGGCTACGTCGTCGTCGAGGATTTTGACGGCTTGCGGAGCTGGCACACTTCTGGCGAGAAGCTTAATGAGATCGCGCGCGTTCAATATCGCAGCAGGATCCCATGTTTTTTGCGTGGTCCATACGGTCATGGAACCTTCGACCAAGTTGAGCTCACAGCCTATGCCCTGCTTGGCCAGCGCCGATGTGATGAACTTCCACGATCCTTTGAGATACTGTTCGCGATACTTGGGGAAGAGGGTGGAGAAGCGTGACTCGTCTGTGAAGGCGCCGGCGACATTGTCTTCGGGCTTGAAAGGTTCAATCTGCACGGGAGGAGATTGTTAGTTGGTTGCACGGATTCCGCAGTCATACTAGTCACGCATTGTGGCGCATGGATTACCTTCCACTTGTCGATGTCATCTGTGTCCCATGGCTTTTCCTTCTTGTGCGTCGAGGGCATTGTGGCGGTGACTGGCTTTGGGATGTGCAAGAAATTCGGGATTCGTGATGGTCTCGGACAACTTTTTTGCGCAATTGGACATGCGCGCTAGAAGTTATTCGTTGGCGCTTGGACCACCCACGGCCACTAGGAGGCTTATCTCCGCTTCAACATCAATTCACATGTAACGTTACCGGTACTCTGCGCCATATATATCATCTCCTCCCAACGAGGCTACAACATGCCTCTAAACAACAATCCCCCAGGGCCATTCTTTGATTTCCTCACGGAATGCTGCTTCAGATAGAAAGGCATGTTTGTTCCTAGTCTCGTCTCACTTTTGCGGCCCACCAATCATCCTCCCATTCCTGCACAAACATCGAGCATTCGTATAACTACCTATGTACCTACCGTATGGTCCGGGAGTCTATGTAGGACGCAGTCAGCAATCAGCCTCTGTATTTTAGGATTCGCCACTAGATGTTTACACGGCTTTATCGATTGCTGAATGCATTCTCTAGTCCAATGCACCGTCTATCGATACAGCAATCTCGTGCTTCCAATACTAGCATTGTGGCCTTTAGTATTGTCATACCTGCCGTCGTAGTCGCACACCAGCCCAGCTCACCGCTTACAACAGCCAACCGTTGACTGTCACGCTACAGTAGTCAATTTATTAGTTCTCGTCAATATAGCAAACTTCGCATGGCAGTTGAAGTTCCAAGGTTAGCACACGCCATTCTAGTAATCCTCGCCTCATAGCTGTCTGGTTGTAGTACTGCAATCGGGATTAGTGAATCCACGGTGTCTAACATCAGACGGAGTATTTGAGGTGCCTTGACGCCGCAAGAACTTCAAGATAAACAATCTCCGACTTCTAACAACACTTTCAATACTCTGGACCGTGTCTCGATTCTCTCAAAACCGCGCCATTATACGCGTTTTCCGAATACTTCGATCCAACCATCAAACAGGACAGATTTACTTCTATATCTCCACCTCACCCCGGCTTGACTGAGCCTCTTACACACTCATTATAACCTTTCTTCCAATCTTGGCCTCACAAAATGCTCCTCAAAGCAAGTCTCATCATGTCCCTCTTATCCACCATGCCACTTGCACTCTCCGCCCCCACCGACCCCCCTCCAGACTACAGCCTCCCCGAGCCTTACAACTGCGGCTACGTCCTCACCGAGCACAACAGCAGTTCCTACGCTGGCCTCCCTGCGATAAACTGGTGCGCGCCCATCTACTACAATGAAAGTATCCCGGGTTATCAGGAGGCGTGGGCGTATAAATTATTTGGAGGCTGCAAATGCGGCTTCTTCAGGTGAGTAATTGGCTTCCAAATTTGTGTTCAAATTTGTGTTTGGTCATGAGTTGGAAGTTTCTATGCTAATGTAGAGTAGGGAGGTTAACGATTGCATTAATACGATAAATCCGCCGTTGATTGAGGGGCCGACACGTGGAGGTCCGGGTCATGAGGCGCTGTTTAAAGACCCAAAGCCGAGGTGGTTCAACTGTTTCAAGACGACTTGATGTGGATTTGTGAGATATTGTTGGTATGCGAGTCTTGTTGTGTTTCAATACGATGCGTGTCTTTCTAGGTATGGTTATGCCTTCGGGTAGGACAGACCGTGTATGTAGTCTGAACTTATATTCTGACTTTCTCCAATTCTTTTCATTGTTATTTCTTAAGTAGTCCATCATGTACCCAAGCCAAAGATAAAATATGTATGTCAGGCTCAAAATTCTACTATGCATTGCGACAGTGATTTTAAAGGCAGATAGCAGACATTGAACTGAGGTCATTAATCCTAGTCTTTTAAATTCTTCCTGTGTATTCTCAGTCAATCTATCGCATGTCCTCTGCCCTCTAACTCTAATCATAACCATCTGTACTCCCAAGCTCACGAACACAGAAATTACCAGCGTATCATCCCTGTCAATCACAATCTATGCTCCCTAACAATATAATCCTTCATCTTCCTCAACGCTCCAAACGCCCTCACAGACCCTGGCGGCTTCCGCGAAAGAACATAATCGGCGACTTATGCTCCGTCAAGCTCTCAAAAACCTCTACGCGGTCAATGATCCTATTACGAACACGTTTTTATGCTGGATAAGCATATACGCGAACCCAATCGCATTCGGACAGAGACCTATTGAGTTTACCCAGTGCTAACTTCGCTGTGCCCATCAACCAATTCCCCTGTATCTGCAAGAGCCTGCGTCTGAAATAGACCCCGGTTAAATCAATCGTCTCACCCTCATCTTCGCTTGGACAATCAGTGTCATCTGGATCCGCCTCCACATAGCCCTCTGGCATAAGGCCAGTCTCGTATTGCAGGCCGGCAAGCAGACGCTGTTCAATGCTGGATGCACCATTTACAAGGACAAAACCATGCACCTCGTCCTCCATCTGGCCTTGCCGATAGGACCGGGCAAATAACTGGGTTTATTCCCCTCCGATACTCAGGGTATCCGTCACAATAACGTAGTTGTCGATTTGAAGATTCATGCCAACAGACATGCACTTCCAAGAAGCCACCATGATCCGGAAGTTAGGATCAGTTTTGAACGCGTGCTCGGCTGCTGCCTTCACTTTGATACTTGTGCCCGCTTTGTACTGGACGGTTGCTCACAGGAATGCCGGTCACATTCGATACGAGCACTGAAGAAGGTCTCGCTCTCCTAGGTATGTTGACTGAGTTTTCTTTTTTCCTTTTTTTCTGCGGACGTAAGTAAATTGTAGTGGTTGTGGTGAACGGATGAGCTGATGTAATTGAAGGGAGATTGTTTGTCTGCTCCAAGGCGCGCCGTATGATTTGCAGGGCAGCAGTGTTCTCGATGGATACGGTCAGGAAGAAGTTGATATTTCCTTGTTGAGCGTGTGGGACGTCTTTTCCCCAGAGCGCGCAGAGGACATCAGAGGATTGGCGGAGGGAGGGGAAGTCGCTGGGTGGGACTGGGTGCGTAAGCTCGGCGGCTCGGATGGCGTAGCTGTGACGGGAGAATGTCATGCAGCCTGTGAGGTGAGTAGGACTTTGTGTATGTATATATAGCGTTTGCCTGCGATATTTTTGGGCAGGGAGACGATGTTGGGTGATGGATGATGTTCCTATTACCTCCGTCTTTGCCATTTACGGCCATGATGAATTCGCCGCCCGCCAATTGCGAGCCACAATCGTTAGGAATGGTACACTGCAACAGGATTCGACCCTGGTACTCACTCTTCTTCGTCGATGGTCGGGACCAACGTACGTCTATTCGTCCACCGGCTCGTACTTCTCACTGTAGTCGCTGTGAAACGCCTACGATACAATCCAATTCCCCCCTTCACCAGTACACTTAGTCGAAAAGTCTTTTGCCCGCAAGAAAGGTCCCATGCCCCAGTGGCCTGTTGGACCGGGTTCAAAGTTGCAGAAGTCCACGAGGTTGGCGCCAGTAATTCGCCAGCCCCATCGGTTGAGGTGGCCTGTGTATTGCTAGCTTGGTATACAAAGCAATTGTCTAGATCAGAATCAGTTTGGGCAGACTTACTGAGACCCCACAAGCTCCCAGCAAAGGGACGGTGAGGTTGGAACATCTTGCCCGCATCGGCGTCGTTGTAGGACATGGCTTCCAGGAGCGTAGTGCCTCTGGCTACGGATTTGCACCACAGTTCATCGCTGGCGAGCGCAGGGAGATTACCGGGTGCCCATGCCACCTTCACATCTTCTCTAGAGAGATTAAGAGATATAATGTCCGCGAGGCTCAAGTTTGACTTTGGTAGACGCTCGAGAAATGCATCGAGTGATTGGGAACCGGCATCGTCAAGAGTGAAGATGCCTAGGCTGATGAATAGAAACACCACGTTGGGGAGCTTCATCTCGGGATCGCGGAAGGCTCTAATGGCAACTGGAGTGTTGAGTGCGAGCAATACAAATATAAGTTATTCTGTGAGTGGGTTGAGCTCTGTGCTCATTCGAAGTGGGAGACGTGCTTAGAGTCCACCGTTTACACTTGGGCCAAGTGCTGCAAAAGCTTTTCACTGGCGGGCACGAAGATTCTGCCCACCAAACTTTTAATGCTAATCAACATTTGAGCGGGAGGAAATACATGGACGGGATTACCTTGCGATCCATCGCCAAACCTCTACAGCGCTGACTCGAACAGCGGTGAACGGCGGCTCAACGAACAATTGATACTAGTAATGAAGATGCTTTTGGCTTGGATATTTCCAGTACGTTAGACTTCTGTGATGCTGAAAAATTACGTGAACTTGGGAAATACTAAGAGAAAGATTACTGTAGATCAATAAACACTGAGCACCTTGCCGAATTGGATGCTGAAAAGCTCATATGTAGTTGGATCAGTCTAGCAATCTTTGTATGTAAGGCAGAATATCTTCTAGAGCTTACCATCGCACCATGGAGCTTTGATTTGCCACATCTGGAACTGTCCAATACCGATGCCTCGAGTTGCGGTATCCGTGTGTACCATACCATATGTCACCTCGACAAAGTTTGGTGTTTGTCCCTCGAAGTGATCAGTAACAAGCATTTAATGAAGAGGAAAGCTACCGTACTCTGAATTGAGACATAATACTGCTCTAGGCTAATCATGGAATGTCGGTGGGCGAGCATCGCCGTTTGTATTGCTTCTTTTGGGTCCGCTGTTGCAGTCTTGATCGTTCATGCTTGTTATCGCGCCAAACTCCGCACATGAAACCCAAGCTTCTTGTTTATGCAGGATAAGTTGCCGTGATTGCTCCATCGTGCTAGATGCTACATATCAAACCCTGGAAGTCGACCATTCCAGCAATTTGATACGCCGTTGAGTACCGAAACTCCAGACGGTTCAATTACATTTGTTCCCATACCCGTCGCATATCAGCCGCCATGCGGTACGGAATCGCAGCACCTAACTGGATCACTCTAGTAGGCCTTTTCAGCCTCACAGTGTCTGCTTCGCCCGTCGAGGCGGCCACACCGTACTGCGGAATGGTGCAAGACACCAACCGTATTGGTCACGGACTCTATGTCACCTCTCAGGAGCATGCCGTTCAAGGTGTAGCATCCCGACTTGGACAGTGTCAGTCTCTACACCTGAACGGCGCGCAGGCTGTTACGTATCAGATGAAAGGAAATTGCTCCTGTTACTTCTTCAAGTGAGTTTTTTCTGGAAATGTTGGATCAGCACTTGAGTGCACTTGCTAAGATCATTATAGCGACGAGAATTGCGACAGCTCCTACTTTATCTATCCTAATGGGGAAACTACAGTGCAAACACGAGCGTACAAGTGCTGTTTGAGCATTCGAGGTGTGCAAGGTACTTGTGCTCATTGGTGAGCTTGACTGGGAAGGATGTATTCGGGTTCATGAAAACTTGAGAATAACACTACTTATCTGCTTATATCACTGTTTTTAAAAGCGTGTTCCTATGCTTGCTTCCACTTCTTGTAATACTTCTAAGCCAAAGAGATGTCTGCATTAATATCTGCAGTGATGTTGCAGCGTTTATCGAGAACCGCTCAGCTACAACATAGAAAATATGCACGTGCTGGAAGTACTAGTCCAGACCCACCGCTGTAATAGTGCAGTAAGAGGATAGATCTTGACGGGCTGTAGTATATTTGTAGTAAGAGCAGCGGAGAAGGGGGGAATGGTGGTGGCTTACATACCATTTGGCAGTGTCACATGTAACTCCAAATTGCGTCACCACCCTACCACAAAGACCCTAGGTAGGCTTCACCCACCTCAAATTCGATATACCTCTAAACATGTACGATTGATGATGCATCAATCTCAACGTTATTCCTAACGACGACGAACCAGTCGAGACTTGGCGATTATGCGGCTATCAATACTCACCAGCCTTCTGTTTGGTGGCGTTTCCGTCATATGCAACCCAATAAGATCCACGGTGATTGCCCGTGGTGGTTCAGGATATGTGACAGATACTTTGGGCAACCAGTACGCACTATACGACACCGGTGACAGCAATATCCGTGCCATCACCGACAAGATCAATGGCGAGTACATGAGGCCTGTCAGCTACAGTATAAGCTCGGGTCATGCCTGCAAATTTTGGAGGTACTGAAGCTGTCCTTTCCAAGAAATCTGAATCTCGCTGATTACTCTTGCGCATGTAGTGAGGCTACGCGAGGCATCGGCTACCTTATTGGCGAATTCACCGGTCCTGTTCATGCTGCATTTGGCCATCACTGGGCAGCGTTCTTCGAATGCTTAGATCTTACAATTGGACTTCCTGTTGGGGCTAATCATGGCCCGGCTGGCAATGTACTTGACAGCAATGGTGTGGTCATCATGCTTCGAGTCGAGGAAGAACTCACTATTATTGGCATGAAGGAAGGCTATTATCATCCAAAGAACCTCCATATCGCCGAAGGCTATTTGTGCGAGTTCCATATGTGAGTAATTTGAAGTCTGCACTATGATCTCTGGAATAATGGATTGTTGAAAGTGACTGTGGCACGGGAAGACGTTACCGAATAGGCGAATGGAGAGGACCCGCTGATGATACATTTCATGATGTCTACGAGCAAGATGCACGTTCTACTGCCCTTTATAGGTGCTCAGACACTTCTCAGGCGACTCATTCACCACGCATATTGTGGGATATCTCAAGCCCTGAAGACGTTGCCGGACAGATCTAGAGGACCGAAAGTGAGATCTCAGAGCTCCAGGTCAGCAAACACATTAGCGACATCAGTACGTCATCGAGGACGACAAGAATTACTTCAATTCTGAGAACTTCAAAGTCGAAGATGTCTTCATCTCTAGATTCTAGTCGTATGTAGCAAGGTCAATGCACACTATGATAATCAAGAGTCACGGAAAGTTGTGAACGGGCATCTGATAGATGGAACCCTGTCTAACATCGACACGATCCACTGACCTCCCTGAGTGCCTTCAAGTCAATCTTCAACCTAAGTAAATACCGACAGATTCGCCTTCTTTACCTAGAATTGTTATCGAATATAAGATAGCTAAAAATGAACAGCCAATATACAAGAGCCAGAAAGTATTCGTAGGTCCCGTGGCCTGGCATGGAGATATTCTCGGCTGGTACAAGTGCTCAGCAAGTGCTCAGCCACAAGCAGGTATTGAGAATGAAAATCGCTGTTCTGAATATCATCAGCACACTGGATCAGAGAGAGGCATCGCTGATGGCCTACAAGAGCTATGGCTGTATTTCTCGGAGTGAGTCGAGGTGCTCTGGTAAACCCTTGGTGAGTTACGAAACAAGACCTTCGGAAATGCCTGCTAGTGCCCAAGTTCTTCGGCTCCTTAGTACTTTTACACAGTTGATCTGAATATTGAGGGTATAAATGACACAAGTCTTGGGCTGGCAAGCATGCATTCCAGAGTTGACATATCTTGTAGGACCGCAGATTCCTTGCGTGTTAGACATATACCAAATGAAACCGAATTTCAGTAGCTTCACTTTGAATCATATCCTCGCTGAATATAGCCTTCAATGTTCGTTGTGTTAGAATCGACCTAGCCGCCCCCAAACATACTCACACAGAGTTTGGATTCGTTGGCCATTTTCAAATCATGCGGATCCTTCTTCGCCATGTTTGCAGGATTCGTGCCTGCTGGCCATGTAGTGTAGGTTGCTGGATGCCTGCATTCGGGTGGGCAAACCCAGATGATTGCGACGGGGGGCATCGTTACGAGAAGCTTGATATCGTCCAGAGTAACCGCGGTGTTATCAAAGGGTTGAGTTCTATAGCAGCAACTTGAATACGAATGCGAGATTAGAGGTATGTTGTGATACTCTTCATTTGTTCAGCATGATATGTCCATTGTTTTTCACGAGGAACACCACGCGCCTAATCGTACTAGTGAAGATGTCCTACAAGCAACTTGATGCGCTGGAAAGAAGGAATTGCAGACTGTGGGCGCGGAATAGAATATTGTAAGAGGCTCGAAATGTATTTGACCGGTGAAAAGGCCGACTCTGATAGCAAGGATGGCAGATCATCACCGGTTTTGACGCCATTTGCGATTGGATGGGCATATCTTCCTAGGTTTCGTCGACATATAAGCAGTCACTAAGGGCCGATGGATGTGTAGTTAGATCTTTACTTTAGACAGTATGGCTTGGCTTGAGTGCTTGTGCGAGCTTGGTCAACGCATATGACTTTGCCTCCTCCTTGCAGGCAGAACCAACAGTAAGCTCTGTGTTATGCAGACAGGAGAAAGCGCATCTGTAAATCAGCCTTTTGATGGACTGGCGATGGCGATGGGGGCAACGCGGCTTCGAAATCGATGCAATTGATAAGTAGGGTACGTACCTGTGGCAACAAGCTGGTCTACCGCTCTTTGTCTGCCCCGACACAACCAAATGAGGTAATATGAGGGGAATTGAATTTTTCATGGCCTCACGACTTCAGCGATGCCCTGGAACTGGGAATAAGAATGTGATTTTGGTGGCACGTTGCCTGGTCAATGAGATGGCCTCGGTGCTCCACTGTGTAGGTAGATGGACTGGCACGCTCTGGTACAGTATCAGTACTTCCCCGCAAATGTGTTGTTCTAGCACATTACTCCGCCAACAGCGACCTACAATTCATGTTGAGTGGTAGAACAGAGATCAAACAAGGCAGACATCCCACTTTGTACCGTACATTAGGTAGCTGAGCCACTCGTCTAGGTCGAAGTGGGGCATGCACTACTACGGTAGGTACCGTAACCTAATCTTTGCCAACAAGCGCCACCTTCAACTTTCAACCTTCACTGGAGGGTCACTCAGGGGTTCGTGACCTGCCTTGAAGTTACAATACAACACACTGCAGCCCCAACAATTCGCATCTACACCATGCCTCTGTGTAGCTGACTAGGTTGACAGTAGCCCATTCCACAAGGCTGCTTGGTTTCCTGGTACAAGGTAGGATTTGGCAGGACGATGGCCTATTGGAAGAGCAGACATCATGAAACATCTTCCATGGACTTTGCTTACGTCGACCGCGTACTTTAATACCAACATTAAGTTCACAGAGACAGCATTTGTTCTTGGTGCATGTGACGGTATGCAGGCATTGCTATGAGGTAAGATGCAGCCATCCGCCCCGAAATCGTTCCGTTTGTTTGCAATCAAATTTCCCGACCAACTTTCCAATCTCTAAGCGTCTGCGCTCTCGCTCAATTTTACAGTTGTTACCACCGTTTCATTATGGAACCGGGCGGCCGATGGCATTCTTACTTCACAATGGACCATGGTTCCCTAGCCCATCACGCTCAGATTGCCAATGTCCTATAGCTTATCTTGCGTCATACCCGCTGACTTATAGTCTACCATGTCTTCCATTGCCGTTCACTTATAATCTGTCATGCCACACGGACAGTCGTCCACACTTCACATAACCTGCCACAGGTACACGTTACAAAACTTACACTCGTTCAATCAATAATCACCACCACCACCACCACCCTCAATTGCCCAGTACAGTATCCAACATCCCCCAATCCCACCGCAGCCATGGGCAATACCTCCAGTACCGCGGTACAAAAGTGTCTAGAATCCGCCCTCGACAACCACAAGGAGCTTCTTGCTTTCAAAGCAACCCCCTTCTACCAACTCAAACACGTCAGACCGTACAATCTTGACAACCCCGTCACCCCCCTCGCCATCACCTATCCCCAATCCGCATCCCACATCGCCGCGACCATCAAATGCGCCTCGGACAACGGGCTCAAAGTCCAAGCGCGCAGCGGCGGCCACTCGTATGCAAACTATGCCCTCGGAGGAGGAGGAGACGGTAAACAGAGTGAGAAGACCATTGTGATCGACCTCAAGAATTTCAAGCAATTTTCCATGGACACCAAGGACTGGGTTGCTACCATCGGCGCTGGAACACTCCTAGGCGACGTAACCAAAAGGCTTCACGAGAACGGGAACAGGGCCATGGCTCACGGTACATGTCCGCAGGTTGGAATAGGGGGTCATGCCACCATCGGCGGATTAGGCCCGATATCGCGTTTGTGGGGCGCCTCGCTCGACCACGTGCTAGAAGTCGAAGTTGTGCTTGCAGACTCGAGCATCGTCCGCGCCTCTCCAACCTCGAACCCCGATGTGTTCTTCGCCGTCAAGGGCGCAGCCAGTGGCTTTGGCATCGTCACGGAATTCAAAGTGCGAACGCAGCCCGAACCCGAGAAGACAGTCTTGTATTCCTACCGTTTCCACGGCGGCAATGCCAAAGAAAAAGCGAATGCGTTTAAGCAGTGGCAGGCCCTTATTACGAGACCGGATCTTTCGCGGAAATTCGCAAGTCAGTTCATTCTTACCGAACAGCTTGGCGCCATTGTCAGCGGTACGTTTTTCGGCAGTCAGGAGGAATACAACAGTTTGAATATTTCAGGGCGGATGCCGAATATCAAGGACAGCGATGTTGTCGAGTTCAAAGACTGGTTGGGCGTGGTGGGACATTGGGCAGAAGATGTCGCGCTGAATATCGTGGGTGGGATTCAGAGCCACTTTTACTCCAAGTCTGTCGCGTACACGAAGAATGATATTCTTCCCGACACAGCAGTGGACTCTCTCTTTGAATACATTGAACATGCCGACAAAGGCGGTGCTATCTGGTTCATCATCTGGGACCTCGAAGGTGGCGCCATCAATGACGTCTCACCGACTGAGACGGCATATGGGCATCGCGACACGCTCTTCTACCACCAGGCCTATGCGGTCAATCTGTTGGGCAAGATCAACGACAAGACGCGTGCATTTCTCACAGGCGTGAACCGCGTTGTGCAGGATGCGCTGCCAAATCACAATCTTGGGGCGTATGCTGGCTACGTGGATCCTGCGCTAGGCAAGGAGGATGTGAGTGCAAAGCTGTATTGGGGTGACAATGTCGACAAGTTGAGGAAGATTAAGACGAGGATTGACCCCTTGGATGTCTTTTCTAATTATCAGAGCGTGAAGCCCGCGAAGCAGATGGCGAAGGCGCGTGCGGTGGTCTAGGATGTTGGGCAGTTGCCGATAAATTTGCCTCCTGTGTCGTAATCTAGTTGATCAAGGAGGCAAGAAGTCTAGTCCCGGTCGTTTCCTCTTGTTTCCTGTTCTCAATTTTGGTCCATGTCGAACATTCTCAAGTAGGGGGAAGTGGTGGTGCCATCATACCCTACACCCATCCAATAATATCTTTGCATCAAACTGGAGATTACCATGCGCATAATGGAACAAAATTGCATCTTGATCAAGACCAGGTGATGTCAATGCATATTGCTTAGGCTCACAAGAATAAACTTTGCATGGTCGCTTTGCAGCTAGGCACCCCTGCATAAGCCACAGATCATTCTCTCTCCAACATGTTTGTGTTGTTTGGGTATCAAAATATCTCTTACCTGTACTTCTCTATCCTCTGCTCCTTTCTGGTTTCTCAGTCCTCAATACCAAATACTCCTCGTTCGATGATGCGGCATCACCTCGCCACCGCCCTCCAACGCCTCCTTCTCTCTTTCTTTCGCCAGGTCGTATAGGAAGAAATCAATGAGAACAGCATTGACCTTTGCTTCGGGATTCAGCTTCACAATCTCTCTTCTGAGCAGCTCCACAGCCCAGATACTGCAGCCACGGATCTGCATCTCCCACGTATGTCCCGACTCTATCGGCTGGAATCGCTCAATCGCATTTGCCAGCGGCGGACAATACGATATTATGGAGAGCTGTTGTAAAATCTGGGGGATACGGTAATCGGCAAACATGGTGATGTTATCAACATCATCGAACTCGCCATAACCCTCGCCCTGAAAACAAGCCCACACGTCCGCCACGAAGATCTGCGCTCTTTTCAGAAACCGAACGCTCTTCTTCTCAAAGGTGCCTTCGTCGCGGAAACACGAGAATTTCTCGGCCAGCAGGTTGACCAGGCGAGCTGCAGAGCCCTGGGCATCTTCAACGAGCGTGGCGACGCTGCCATCGAATTCTTCGTCTAGAACACGCCCTGCTTCACGCAGACACTTGACACGTTCGGCGAACAAAGGGATTTCCTCGCCCCCTTCTGTGCCGGAGCTGAAGACGGTGCGCAAAACCTCCTCGGTGCAGGTTTCTTCGTCGATCCAGAAGGAGGGGCTTGTGATGGGGATATCCTGTTCGAGCGCACGTTGCAGCAGTGCAACGAGGCTGAAGTAGCCGGTCCAGCGCTTCCCTTGATAGACAATAGCGAAGCGCTCCTCTTCACTCTTCTCGCTCCAGAAACTGAAGTTTAGCAGGTCCATGGTGAAGATGAAGTTTAGCGTGGCCTCGTCTTTGGATTGGGGGTGCAGCGGCTGCTGCGACCAGGTTGCGGCGCTATATTCGCGTTTTTGCATTTCAGCGTGGATGAGGGTTGCAGCAGCTTTGGTGGAGCGCATGTCGAGGGCGACGTCGGTGCTGTTGTCGTAGATGAACTGGGCGGAGGAGAGGACTTTTGTGTCTGGTGGACCCTCATTTTTGTTGTTGAGGCCGAAGCGGGCGCGGAGAAGCTCTAGGAGCTCGAGGTCTGGTTCTTCATCTGACATATCCTTTCTCTTGGTAATGCTTAGGCTGAAGGAGAGGGCTGGTGTTGAAAAACGGGGATGGGGGCGAGCCTGGGCACGTGCAATCTGTGAGCAAAGAGCACCGGCCGGTAGACCATGGGCGCACTGAGCCAAGGCAACAGGACCTCTGCACGCACTTTTCTTCTTCTTCTTCGTCTTCTTCTTCTTCTTCTTCTTCTTTTCTTTGTTGTCCCTCAGCGCCTTCACCATGGCCTTGCACTCTCTCCACCCACAGCATATGCACCCCACAGGCACTCACCTGGGCACGGTCCAGCTCGGCTACGCGCCAAGCTTTGAGGCTGAACGCGCCGGTGCGACTTTTCCATGGAGCTTCGCTGCAGTTTCGGCGGCACGCTACTGGCTCCCGAATCGCTGACGTCCGTTGCAGCTTGGCTGGGGTGAGAGTGAGAGAGAGAGAGAGAGAGAGAGAGAGAGAGAGACAGAGTCGGAAAGCACCTTCACCTCAGCACGGCGCCCTAACTTCTTCTTCTTCTTCTTCTTCTTCTTCTTCTTCTTCTTCTTCTTCTTCTTCTTCTTCACCACAACCCCCCTCGCATGTCGCGCCCACTCCGATAACACTTGTATCCATCCGCACTCGCGCGCTTACCTGCACAACCACGGCTCCCCAACGCGACCATGGCACGCGACAAGCTTGCGAGACAGAGCCTTGGAGGCACCCTGCAGGCGCATATCAAAGAGGTACATGTTCCCAAGTAGGAGTACTGGGGGTACAGGCACTAACACTCCCAAGGCGCGCATTCTGATGGTTGGCGCTGGCGGCATCGGCTGCGAACTGCTCAAGAACCTGGTCCTCACTGGCTTCGGCGAGATCCATATTGTCGACTTGGATACGATTGACCTGAGCAATCTGAATCGCCAATTCCTGTTTCGCAACGAGCACATCAAAAAGTCAAAGGCTCTCGTACGTTCCCTCCATGGCATCAACCAGCCCGTCAGAAGGACAACGCTTGCGCTAACATGATTTCGCAGGTTGCAAAAGAGTCGGCTGGGCGCTTCAACCCCAACGTCAAGATCGAAGCTTACCACCAGAATATCAAGGACTCCCAATTCAACGTCGCATGGTTCAGAAAGTTCCAAATCGTCTTCAATGCGCTGGACAATTTGGATGCGCGGCGCCATGTTAACAAGATGTGCCTTGCTGCCAATGTTCCGTTGATCGAGAGCGGCACCACGGGCTTCAATGGGCAGGTTCAGGTCATCAAGAAGGTGCCACATCCCAGTCAAAGTCATGACAAAGAGCCTCATTGCTGACAGCCACTTAGGGCGAGACCGAATGCTACGACTGTACCCCTAAGGAGCAACCCAAGTCCTTTCCCGTCTGCACTATCCGGAGCACACCCTCACAACCCATCCACTGCATAGTCTGGGGCAAATCATACCTTTTCGCCGAGATATTCGGTACTTCGGAAGACGAAGCGCCCGAGCTTGATCACAGCGAAGACGCCGACAATGCAAACGAAGTCGCAAACCTACAGAAGGAAGCGCATGCCCTGAAACACATACGCGAGTCTATGGGCTCAGATGAATTCCCACGCAAGGTGTTTAACAAAGTCTTCAAAGAAGATATCGAGCGCTTACGAAGCATGGAGGACATGTGGCAGACGAAGCGGCCACCGGAGGCGCTAGACTACGATGCACTCGAAAAGCAAGCGTTGGGCTTAGACAAGGCGGTTTCAAGAAAAGATCAAATTACCTGGAGTGTTGCCGAAAACTTCATCGTATTCGTAGACAGCCTTTGCCGACTAAGCAGCCGCCTCGAAGAACAACGCTCAAGACCTGATAGCAGCAACGCCGCGCCCATACTCAGCTTCGACAAAGATGACGAAGACACACTCGACTTTGTCGTCGCAAGTGCAAACCTACGCTCCCACATCTTCGGCATCGAAATGCGGTCAAAATTTGACATCAAGCGTACGATCCCCCATGTCTTCCTCCCCTGCTCTTACTAACACCATATACAACAGAAATGGCAGGTAATATCATCCCCGCTATTGCAACCACAAACGCAATGACTGCCTCCCTCTGCGTCCTCCAAGCCTTCAAAGTCCTACGCTCCCAACTCGCCGCCGCGAAAATGGTCTTCCTCACCCGCGGCACCGAACGCGTCCTCTCGAGCGAATCTCTGCGGCCTCCAAACCCCTACTGCGCAACCTGCAGCGTGACGTATGCAACCCTCCTCGTCGACCCCAAAAAGGCCACACTGCGCAACCTCGTCGACATGTTGCAGCAGCAACTCCATTACGGGGCCGAGATTAGCATAAAGCGGGATAACGATCTACTCTACGATATAGACGAAGATGTGCATCTTGAAGAGACGTTTGAGTCGCTGGGCGTGAAGGGCGACAGCTTTGTTACCGTGTGCGATGAGGCGGAGGAGCATGCCAAGGTCGATGTGACATTTTGCATTGTGGAAGAGGAGGTTGGCGAGGGGCAAGCACGCGTTCGTTTGGAAGCCGAGTTGAGTGTGCCAGAGAAGCGGATACAGGTATCAGTACTGGGCACGAATGGGAATGCGAACCATGCAGATACGAATGGCAACGGCAATGGCGGGCTAAACGGTGACCAGACCCTCAACGCAGCGAGCAAGCGAACGGCAAGTGCGGCCGGTCTTCAGGATGGCGATCTCGTACGGAAAAAGGGCAAGGTATTACTGGGAGGTAAGACCGGGGATGCGGACGGAGAAGAAGACGATGCAGTGGTGCTGGTTGATGATGTAGATGATGGGGTCATTGTTTTTGATGATTGATGATTGATGGGTGGGGGACTTGAGCGATGGAGATGGGACTGAAGGGGATGGAGGGAGGGAAGAAGACGTCGAATTGAAGACTTGGAGGAGCCGGGCTGAGATGAACTGTGTTGAGATGAGATCAGACAAAACATGCCGCACTGCGACTTTGCACATTGGCGTTGGCGGTGGCGACGACGAAAACGACAACGACGACTCTAAGAGAATGTTCAAAGTTCCTTTATCCCTACTTCTCAGTTTCCTGCTTTGGCAGACCTGGGCTTTTTCTAGTCCGAGATGGTAATGGAACGGTAACGACGAGGCTTAACAACCGCACCATGCCCGTGTCTTAATCACAAGTGAATCCACCGCATTCTGTCTGCTATTGAAGTATTCTTGTGATGATCTTGATTCTTCGTCTACATGCACACTTTTTTACTTGATTTTTGTTTCCCTTGATTTTCAGACCGCAGACACCCCGCCATCGATGTTTAAAACCGCGTTATGCGCATACTCGTTTTGCGCGAGGAACAGGACCGCCGACGCGATTTCATCTGGTGTGCCGAGGCGGGCGAGGGGGATGCGGGTGGAGAGATGATTGGGGTTGAGGTCTAGGGGTTGGCAAAGGGGAGTGGGTTAGTTTGTCCTTGTTGTTTTCATGGGGGCTTGGGTTTGGGTTGGTGTAGAATGGAGGGGGACATGTGTACACTGGCAATTCGGAAGAGAGATGATGCTGGAATCCGACAGGGTAGGAAGGCGACAGCCTAGCAGCAGCGCAAGAGAATACAGCACGATGTTTCAATTCATGTAAATTCAACTCACCTCTTGTCATCCCCGTCTCCACATAACCCGGTAGGACAGCATTTACCCTGACCCCGTGACTCGTATACTCACTCGCCAGCGCGCGCGTAAACCCCAAAACCCCTGCTTTGGATGCCGCGTACGCCACTGCGCCGTGGCCGCCCAATATCCCCAGTACACTGGCGATATTGATGATGACGGGGGTGTGAGGTTGAAGCTGTGCGTCTGTGTTTTGCTGCGCAGTCTGTCCGGCATCAGGCGCAGACGTGCAAGTAGAGGTGGCGTCTGCGCACGAGGCCAATGTAGAAGCAGAAGCCGCCTGACTCGAAGATGAAGAAGCCTGTTTCCGCAGATAACCATGTCGAAGCAGGAATCTCGTGCTCCGCATGACGCTAGTGAGATTGGTGGCTATCATGGCCTCGATGTCGTCTTCAGAGGTGCGCGTAAAGAGACTGGCCTGTGCTATCCCGGCGCAATGCACCAGCACATCGATGTGGGACGCATGAGTGGGATCTTTGCGCGGTGGTTTGGGGAGGAAAGATGGGAAGGGTGGGGAGAGGGATACCGGTAATTGATCTTGGGCTGTTGGGTTTGCCGGGGCAGAGGTGGACCAGAAGGTAGGAGATGTGATGGAGGCGGCGATGTAGTTGTGTTGATAGGACGGTAGTGGGTATGGGCAAGTTTCGTCCTCGGGGGTCGATGGTGTTGGTGGTGATGAGGATGTTGTCGATGGGATTGCTCCTGATGATGGTGACGATGTGAGCAGAGGCGTCAAACTAGCCACAGCATCCTTGAGATCTCGCTCTGATCGCGATATCAGCGTGCAGCGATACGCGTTCTTTGCGAAGAGTCTTGCAATGGCGAGACCGATTCCCCGGCTTCCTCCTGTGATGAGCACGTGACGGGGGCGCATGATACATGTATCAATAGATCTCTGACAGAGTGTTGGTCGTTGGTCAAGTTGGGTGGAATGGCTTTCCGTCCAACTAGAGTGGGCCAGTCACCAACTGGGACCGACCTATCATTCTCCATCCAGCCAAGTCAGTCTATCTACATCTATCACGGCATGCTGTTGAATAGACCGTGACTTGCCAGAAATACACTCACGACAGAAATTAGAACAGCAGATGCATAGTGCACGATAGCATTCTCCATCCCTCGACAAATGCACTCGTCATGCTTATTCTTTGCGAGACATTCTTTTGCATTGTATGTAACCAGAGATGACTCTAACTATTCAATTGAACCAAGGGTATGCACTACATCATACACCCATTCGACTTACTGCTATGCAAGTCCGACACAGAAAGCCGTATTCTCTGACCATTGATCGTCATGTAGCTTTCAATCAGCCATTCATACCACACCTTTCTATCATCTGTTTGGCGCCAGAAACTGACTTCGATTTCGGAGTTGGCGGGGAGTTGCATGGGATTCTATAGTCATCTGTCAGCATTTTCCCCAACTTACTGTGTGATGTCGTGATTCAAGAGGATTCGATACATACCTTGAGCGGAAAGAGGATTGGAAACCAACTGATCATGTCTTTGCTCTTCGCTTCCATCGTCACTGGATTTGTGCTCAACTCGACAGGGCCATCGGATCCACTGTACAACACTGTCTCAAAGTACCCACCGAGTCCATGGCAAACGCCTTGCTCTTGGATCGGGAAAGCAGTCTTACAGTACCGGTAGTTGTGTTCGTTTGCGCCGTCGCCGCCCATCAAGCCACCACCACCGCCAACAGCGGAACCACCTCTACGCAAAGATGACTGCGCGAGTATAGATGTAGGCAGAGGATGTGAAAATTCCCACGCTGTTTTTACGACGGGAGCGAGCGGGGCTTCGAGATTGAACTTGTGCATTTTGGTGCCGTTGGTCAGCTGTTGGGAGGCCGAGGTCTCGGTGGGGGATGTAGAGAGGTAGTCGAGTTGGGTGAGCATGACGACCCAAGGGATATCAAAGGCATTGGGATCGATGCTAGTACTTCTGCTGTACAGATCGGCCCAGAGCTTGGGTGTCGCGATAGGTGTAAAGTGTGCGGTATAGCTAGACGGGATGGATATTCCATGATCAGGATTCAGGACGTGCTGTACGCCGTCGAGACATTCGGGGGAGAGCTCGTTGTCTGCAAAAGAGCCGAGGAGTTCGCTGACGAGTATGTCGACTTTGCCAAATGTGCCATCCGATTGGGTGGGTCCTTTCCAGGCGCGCATGTCAGTCTTCACTACCGTGACACGGCCTTTCCATCTCTCTATGTTGTGGCGCTGAAGAAGGACATAGGCATTGGGATTTTTCTCAATGGCGTAGACTTGGACTGGCACACCAGTACTCGCGCTCGCATTCAATGCGCGTGTAACAAGGGGACCACGACCTGAACCAACCACAGCAATGACAACAGCCCCGTTGATAGAACTAGTTGACCTTCGCTGACTTTGCCAGTCTTGCAGCGCTTGTGCGATTGCCCGTTCGTACCATGCGTACTTGATGGGATCCTTCTCGAATACTTCATAGGTGATGGACTCGAGGTTATCCGTGAGTGGCTGAAGTGGGCTCTGAAGATAGTCCTGAAACCCTCCTCCAAACCTCTCAATCTGGCTCTTGGGTGGTTGATTTCGCTGCAAGTATCGGAGGTAGCTCAAATGAGGTGTTGGGTCATTGTGGCTGCTCATCTTCTTTCCCAGTTTCTGTGCCAGTTGGGCTGCCTCTGCAGGAGTGGGTGCAGTTTCAACCGAGGAGTCAGGACTTGGTGCATCTTCTGCTGTTCGTGGTGAGATATGTCCGGTTGAGTAGGACATGATCATATCAGGGTCATCAATGCCTGGGAGCTGACCAATGTCGGAGAGAAGCAACCATGGTCCACGCTGTAAGCGCATACATCGGAAGATGAAAGCTTGGTGCGCTTTGGAGAGTACGTAAGATTGGCGTGCGTTAACAAGAAAAGATGATGAAGGGATGTTGAGCAGGCGGACTGGCTCGGAGAACCACCTTGACTGTAGTGCCAGAGAAGGTAGCCGACGGGGAAGGTCGAGTGCTAATAATGGGAACAGTTAGTGCCAGGGTGAGCAATCAATTCGTAGAATTTACGACTGTAGTGCTGCCAAAAAAAATGCTGTTTCGTACCTATCGACAATCTGTTGTGGTATTTACAGATGGACCTAATGGTGTCCCATGCCTCCCACGAACTCCATGGGTTGATATTCTTGGCTTCCTTGTTGACTTGGAACTCTGATCTAGCAAAACGAGCCAAGTCGGCCAGATCGTCTTCATCCACATTTGATCTTGAACCATCCATAGGGAGCTGAATATGCAGCGAAATGTAGGACGCAGACGCCAGAGCCTCCTTGATAGATCGGGCAAATTGAGAGACTCCATTTTGCCCGTGGGATAGTCGCGGCCCCTGTACAACGACATTGGTGGCTCCACAGAAAGCCGCATAGGCGATTTCAAGGTGGAAGACTTGTCGCGACAAATGGGCAATGACAGGATCTGGGGAAGAAAGGTCGATCCAAGAGCTGGTAAAGGTTACTAGTTGGCCTATGGTATCACTTGGCCCCAGGGGTGTGTCTGCATGGCCCAAGGCAGGGATTAGCGGAAGCGGCTGTGTTTGTAATGGATCCGAAAGGCTGTGGGTGTAGGAATTCAGAAGACTCAAAACACGGGTATGGAAATGGTCATTGGTGATGGGGCTGGTTAGCATGTCGTACTGAGTCTGGTCAGCTCCCCAGAAAAGTCTCGACTGTGCTCATTGTGGGACACTCACGCCCAGATCTTGAGCATGCTGAGCCAGCTCAGCGGAGATGTCCAGGGTCCGCTTGCGCTCGTGCTGGCCAATATAGAAGACGGGCGTGGATTCGTCCATGCTGTCTGAATAGTCCATACCTACTGCGAAGATGAACCGTTTCCCTTGCGCAAAAAAGAAAGAGACAGAAGGAAAAAGGTAGAGAGTAGAGGCACGACAAAACTCTACAGAGTTAACGTGTGTACGTTGCTAGGTAGACGTTGTCGTTCGAGAATTTCGAAGTTTGTGATGTGGGACTCCCGCGGGGTCAGATGGGTAGGTAGGTGTAGGTGTAGGTACGGGTAGTCACTGTGTATGTCAACTCTCCGCGTGTACCGTACCGGTACGGTATTTCACTGCGTTGACAGGCAATAATGAGGCGAGGAGGGGAAGAGAATGCAGGGACTGGACTCTGCAAAAGAAGAAATGAAAGAGGGAAGAGAGGACAGTAGGTGTCAGTGTGTGTGCCCTTGCAGGAGAGGTGACGCTAGTCGACTGGGTTAGCTTCCTGGCAACTTTTTTGTTCAGCCGCCGCCTCGTCCAAATGCGCGACAGCCCACAGGCCGACTCGACCGCCATTTTCCCTTCTTGCCTCTGCTCACTTACAGCTTTGACAGCTTTGACAGCTTTGACAGCTTTGACAGCAACGGCAGCAGAAACACACTGACTGTCACTGGACAGAGTCGACAACCGTCACAGGGGACCGGAGATTCTCTCGAGATGACAGCCATGACCAAGCGCGATTCGCACGACGACGACAGCGCCCGGGTCAAGCGCGTCAAGACCGAGGGAAATGGCGAAGAGTCAAAGGCCAACCCATATCTGGCGCATTGGGACAGCGAGCAGGCCGGCAAGAGCGAGAACAGCGAGTACAGCGCGATAGGCGCAGGTTTGGCCGGCTTCAAGCGCCATGCCACCACCACCAAGCAGGCCACGGCCGCCGAAGATGGCCCCGACAATCCCTTCACTGGACGGCCGCTATCGAGCAAGTACATGAGCATTCTCAAGACACGCCGAGGCTTGCCTGTCCACCAGCAAAGGTAATTCACCCACCGACTTTGGCCAGTGCGGCCATGCCATGCCCACCGTAAACTAACACGAGCCTACAGAGATGAGTTCCTTAAGCTCTACCAGGAATCGCAAATCCTCGTCTTCGTCGGCGAGACTGGTTCTGGAAAGACGACACAGATTCCGCAGTTCGTCCTCTTCGACGATCTCCCCCAGCAGAGCGCGCAGATGGTGGCTTGCACCCAGCCTCGTCGAGTCGCCGCCATGTCCGTCGCACAGCGTGTCGCAGAGGAGATGGACGTTGAGTTGGGCGAGGAAGTTGGGTACAGCATCCGTTTCGAAGACAGGACTGGGCCAAACACCATCCTCAAGTACATGACGGACGGAATGTTGCTGCGTGAGGCCATGCACGACAACAACCTCACCCGCTACAGCACCATCATTCTCGATGAGGCTCACGAGCGTACCCTGGCCACCGATATTCTCATGGGTTTGTTGAAGGAGGTCGTCCTTAGGCGCAAGGACTTGAAGCTCATCATCATGAGCGCCACACTCGACGCCACAAAGTTCCAAAAGTACTTCCACAATGCACCCCTACTCGCCGTACCGGGTCGAACGCACCCAGTCGAGGTCTTCTACACCCCTGCCCCCGAACGCGATTACGTCGAGGCTGCCCTGCGAACCGTACTCCAGATCCACGCCACCGAGCCCGAGGGTGATATCCTGTTGTTCCTGACTGGTGAGGAAGAGATTGAGGATGCTTGCAGGAAGATCAACCTGGAAGCGCAGGATCTGACCCGCGAGGGCGGTGCAGGTCCCCTCGTTGTATACCCGCTCTATGGTACTCTGCCACCCGCGCAACAGCAGAAGATCTTCAGCCCTGCCCCACCTCCATCCACACCTGGGGGACGACCTGGCCGAAAAGTCATCGTCTCCACCAACATCGCCGAAACATCGCTTACCATTGACGGTATCGTGTACGTCGTCGACCCTGGTTTCAGCAAGCAAAAAGTATACAATCCCCGCATCCGTGTCGAGTCACTGCTTGTATCGCCCATCTCCAAAGCATCTGCACAACAGCGAGCTGGTCGTGCCGGTCGTACGCGACCTGGTAAATGCTTCCGTTTGTACACTGAGCAAGCGTTCAAGAAGGAGCTCATCGAGCAGACCTACCCCGAGATTCTCCGTTCCAACTTGGCCAGCACGGTACTCGAGCTGAAGAAGCTGGGTGTCGACGACTTGGTACATTTCGACTTGATGGATCCGCCCGCGCCCGAGACGCTCATGCGTGCCCTGGAGGAGTTGAACTACCTGGCCTGTCTCGACGACGAAGGCGAATTGACTCAACTCGGGAGTCTGGCGTCGCAGTTCCCCCTCGATCCTGCATTGGCAGTCATGCTCATCACATCACCCGAGTTCTACTGCTCCAATGAGATTCTGTCGCTCACCGCACTCCTCTCCGTCCCGCAAATCTTCGTCCGCCCGGCGAACAACCGCAAGCGCGCTGACGAGATGAAGCAATTCTTCGCACACCCTAAGGGAGATCATCTGACCATGCTCAACGTCTATCACGCATTCAAGGGTGAGGAGGCCCAGGCGAACCCTAAGCAATGGTGTCACGATCACTTCCTATCCTATCGTGCGCTGCAACAAGCCGACAACGTCCGCCTGCAACTGAAGCGCATCATGGAGCGTGAGGAGCTCGAACTCATGTCCACTCCCTTTGAGAATAAGACATACTACGAGAATATTCAGCGTGCCCTTGTAGCAGGCTTCTTCATGCAGGTAGCCAAGCGTGATGGCAATAGCAAGTCGTACATCACTGTCAAGGATGAGCAAAATGTGCTTTTGCATCCTAGCACAGTACTTGCAGAGGACAGCGAGTGGGTTATTTACAACGAGTTTGTGCTCACCACGAAGAACTACATTCGCACGGTGACGAGTGTCAAGCCGGAGTGGTTGCTGGTCAGTTGTCTCCCCTTCACACCGGAACGATGTGGGAAGTTGATTCTAACACATGGTAGGACATTTCACCAAATTACTACGACCTGTCGCAATTCAAGAAGGGCGAGATCAGGCAGGCACTCCAAGCCGTCGTCACAAAAATTCAGCGCAAGGAGCTACAGAAGGCTGGCCGGAGATGAAAATGGCAGCTGGTCAGGACCTTGCCTCAAAGTACAGAGAGGCGTCCATGATTAATGTCACATGATTGGGCTATATACTGGCGTTGAGAACTGATTTGGGTCTGAGATGACCTGGCGTTAGATCCAGTGTGTATAGGTATGAGAAGGAGGTTTCGGCCTAGCTGAAGCTGATTTACAGCTGCTTGGATGGAGAATTGATGCCCTACAACCCTCATTATAGTACTCTGGATTGTTGTGGGCTTGTTTGCTTGAGCCTGAGCTTGCATGTGAAGTCGTTCAGCCACATGTCGATTAAGGTTAGCCTTGTTCAGCCCTACGACAACGACGGACAGTGGCTGATGGACTGGTGGATAAGTTACTCATCTGCGTCGGATGGCCCGTGCACCAAAAAGATTCCACCTTGGAATACTTCGTGGATAGCTTTCGCCAACGTCAATTTCACGCTTTCACCCAATTTTTGTCTCCCCAAGTGCTCTGGGTTTGAAGTGCGTCATTCTCTTGATCGTCTCTGAAGGCTCACTCGCTTCCTTGACCGGTCGGCACTAACAGTCCACTTCTATAAAGTCACATCTCTTAACCTCCCACTCCCACACCCAGCACAAACCACAATGATGATACGCAAACAAGCCCGCGAACGCCGCGACTACCTCTATCGGCGAGCCCTCACCCTCCGCGACGCCGAATTAGCCTCTAAACGTGCTGCCCTCAAAGCCTCCCTCGCAACCGGCAAACCGCTCGACCGCAACGTCGCAGACGACACGACCCTCCGCGCCGACTACAAATACGACGAAACACGCACAGACCGCACTGCAGAAGACGAACTTCAACTTGACGATGAATATGCTCAACTCAGCGGCGTCGTTGACCCACGAGTCCTCGTCACCACCTCGCGCGACCCCAGTTCTCGCCTCGGCACTTTTGCAAAGGAAATTCGCCTCCTGCTGCCCACGGCCATACGACTGAATCGCGGAAACTTGGTGCTGGGCAACTTGGTGAGCAGTGCGCAGGCGAGCGGACTCAGCGACGTCATACTACTGCATGAACATCGTGGTACGCCGACTGCGCTTACCGTGAGCCATTTCCCACATGGGCCAACAGCGAGCTTCAGTCTGCATAATGTGGTGTTGCGAGCGGATATACCGAATGCATCGCGTGGTACTGTTAGTGAAAGCTATCCGCATCTCATCTTTGAGGGGTTCGGTACGAAGCTAGGGAAGCGCGTGGTGCAGATCATTAAACATCTATTTCCACCACGGGAAGCGAATGCCAAAGTCGGGTCCCGTGTAGTCACGTAAGTCTTGTCATATCCCTCTCCCATACCATCCTCTCCCCTTCATTTCCACCACGTCTCCAGCACCTTCCTTCTAACCCGAGCAAAATCAGCTTCAAAAACATCGAAGACACCATCGAAGTCCGCCACCACGTCTTTGTCAAAACAGGCTATCAGCAAGTCGAGCTTGCAGAAGTCGGGCCCCGTATGAGTATGCGCTTGTTTGAGATCCGCGCGGGCACGCTGGAGAATAAGGAGGGCGATGTAGAGTGGCATCTAAATCAGTATACGAGGACGGGACGGAAGAAGGAGTATTTGTAGGAGTTTTTGTTGTGTTGGTATGGGTGGTAGATGGAGAAGTCAAGGAGGGAAGTTTATGGTGGGTAGGTGGATAGACGACAGGCAGTGGGCCAAGGCTGATGTGAATCGTGAACAATATACCCGGCATATATCACGGAGTTTGAAATCTATATTTCAGGGACGGAAGAAAATGTATTTATATGATTGAAGCCGATAAGACTCAGAATGCCACTACGTCTTTGACGTCCAGAGCCAAGGAGAACGCAAATGAAAACACCGCTGAACGCCCAATCCATGCAGGATCGTTCCTTCAGACCTGACCGCGACCAACAAGACCGTCATCGTACAATTCAACACTCATGTCCTTTTCTATTCCTCCGATCAAATTTACGGAGCCAGGCGCAAAGCAGCGCTGCCGTACATCACGCCCTCTCCTTTCCCTTTTGCAACCTCTCTGCCTCCTCGTCCTTGCCCAGCAAACTCCCCTCAATCCTCAAAAACCCTTTTCCCTTGCCTTTGCCATCTAACCTACCATCGAAATCCCTAATCCTCACCTCCACACTCCTCCCACTCTCCGCCTTGCCTTCCCCCTCAATCACCCAGCACCCGCCCTCGTCCCTCAACCTCCCATCCCAGCCATTTTTATACCGGGCGGCCGTGGTGGTGGCGGTGTTGCTATCGACTTGCCAGGACCATGTGGAGGGTAGGTGTGCGGCAAGGACACTGACGGGGAAGGTGTTGAGGTAAGAGAGCGTGATGTGGGTGCGGGATTGGTGGGTCAGGGTTCCCGTCAAGGGAGCGTGGAGGGTTGGGCGGAAGACGAGGAAGGTGGCTGTTGCCCAGAGAAAAGGGGAGGCGTATTCGTCGATGTGATGGAGGAGAAGGATGGGGTCCGGGCTGGGCGCATCGTCCGAGTCGCTTTCTTGTTGCCGTTGTTGTTGCCGTTGTGCGGCAGACTTGTTTGATGGTGGCGGTGGAGGTGAATCGCGCAATTCAACGTCCTCGTATGCTAGTACGATTCCGCGTGCTGGGGGAAAGTAGCTCAAGAGTAGAGGCGAGAATATGCTTGCGCAGAGGGCTGGGAGTGGAGTTGAAAGGCAAGAAGGCGGGAGGGAGACGTATTGCGCTATTCTTTCCTTGTACAGTAGGCATGTGTTGTCTGCTTGTATTGGCGCCATTTCGGCGGATGTGCGAGGTCGAATGTGTGAGAAAGGAGATTTGCGATTTCGTGGTGGTCGCGTTGCGCAGTGAGAGCTGGTGGGAAAAAAAGGTGTCGGGGATTGATGAGGGTTGGATGCCGACGGGCGTGGGGGCGCGCACGCTAGCTAAGCTACGGGGGGACTGCCAAGGTGGATTGGGCAGATGGGATATCTCATCGGACTGATCGCCCTTCGCCAATATCACTAGACATGGCCAAATCTAGATTTGGCTGGAACCTGGCTGTTGCAAAAGACCTCTTCTCATTCTTCTCTCTCATAGTCTTCACCCCGGTTGGCTTAGAGGTAGACTACCTGCCCACTGCAGGCCGACTGCGTTTTCGATCTCTCCGTCTCTTTGACTCTGTATTATATACAAAGCAAACATCTCGCCGCCAACAGAGTTTCTGTAGTTTATTGCTACTCCCGTGCTGCCGCGTTGTTATATGATTGATATAAACAAGACGAAGACCGATGTTATTTGCACGAAGAATCCGAAGCGAGCAGTGAAAGAAGACCAAAGAAGAGGTAGTCGTACCTGCAAAGAAAAGCAAACTTTCTTGAAACACAGCCTGTTCCATCAACGTCGTGCCACAGGTCTCCAGGAGGGAATAGGGATGTTTAGAATGTCCTTTACTACGGTCTGGCGTTTGGTAGGCGAGATACGATTAACACGACGCTCAAGGTGCGAGCTGAGACTGGCGCATTGCGCTTCGCATTGTACTCCCAGCTTCTCTTTGCGTGCTTCCACTGGCATCAAATCAGTAAGAGTTTAGGAGATTCAGAAAAGGCAGTGTGGCACTCAAGCTGGAGATGGGCTATCATGGCTGCTTTCGCCTCGGCCGTGACCTTCTTTGGCAGATGCGGCATTGTGGACATGAGATATGGCGATGGTGACAGGTAGGCCTCTTAATTCATCTGCTGCGGGCTTTTTCTAATAAACGAATTCACAGATATCTAGGAGAGATCGAGGTGAAGGTGAATCAGCATCCGTACCGTTTGCTGACACCAAAGGGTCCCAGCGCAACGTGGGGTGCTCCTTCCTGCTAAAGTGTGCGCACTTCCACTTTCTTTTCACCACCACTTTCGCCGGGTTATTTTATCTGCCTCATGAAGCTACCTTTCACAGTCGCGATAGCTGTCGGCCTTCTGGCGGGTCGAGTGCTTGCCAATCCGCCTGCGACATCCAGTGCTCCTGCTGACCTTCACACTCGCCGATCGATTCGCGGAACCAATGGAACTGCTCCAGAACTAAGTGGTATAGATTTCAATCCTGACGTATTTGCCAGTGATGCTCAGTGGAGGCAATATGTCGACAAGGGCCTGCAGCTTACATGTCTCATGGAAGCCACGGACCAGGGCGCGGGCTACCTTCTCGATGACTCGCGAAGTCCACCTTCTGCTGCGAGCAGATGGGCCGGTGATCTCAAGAGTAGATTAAACCGGGGTCCTCAAATCAGCTCTTATCAAGCTAACACACTGGACCAGATGATCTCGCGAAGTGGTACTGGCACATCACCGACTGGGACGAAGGCTGGGAATGCGACTGGAGACGTCAGGGCCTGACGGAGGCATTTGAAGGCCAAGGACTAAACCCCGACCCAGCTTTTGATGACGAGGGTCATCCATCGGGTGGGAACAACCAATGCATTAATGTTTCGCACTATGACGAGAACGACCTGGTAGATCCACGCGACGAGAATTCGCCAACGAAGCAATTTCGAGACCAGCATTATTGGGTTGACGGCAGGAAGTATACGGTATGCTTGTTTCACTCTCTTCTATAGGTTAGGAATACCTAATGAAGTCATACAGTCTACTGGCGCATACTATCACTTCGCCATGAACAAGATCGATGGAGGTGAATATGATTCTCTACCGCAAAGACGTGTGCGCATGCTGATGCTCTCTACCTAGCCATTATAGCAAAAAACCTTGGAAACCCTGCAACATCAGTATTTGGGGCCTGGCACAGACAAGCAGCGCCTGGTGAGCTTCCCGAACTACGCTTCGTTTCCGACATCTTCTGGGGTTTCTGGGTTCGCGACAATCCAAATGTCAAGAACATCCAAGTCTATGGGGCATACTTGGTCATCAACGAACGCACAGTACTTCTAGTCTCTCGCGCTCTAAGGAACGTCCATGTAAACACCTTGAAGTTGTGGCCGGGGACGAGTTTCTCTGCAGAAACGGAGGAAGGAAAGGCATTGATTGGTACAGTCCATCCAAACAATTTGGCTTATTCACCACGATGGCCCGAGAACTTCTGTATTAATACACCTTAGGTTCTCCGATTGGTGCAACAATTGCACACATGCTGCTTTCACACAAGGCCGAATTGGGCATTAAGCATATCACCAAAGTCACAATCTGCACCGGCGATAACCCATTTAAAGAAATGCATATCTTCTTCACCATCGCAGATGTCAAGGACGACAAGGGCTCCCGCGTGGAAAGAAGAGACAGCCAGCACCAAGAAAAAGATGTTTCTTCTGATGAGGATTCAGAAGACCAGGTGCTTTACATGAAAAGCACCAATAGAGTCCGGGAGCACATTGTTGCGTTCCAAGATCTCAGTCATAACGATGGATGAAAAGCTATAGGTCGCCTAGCTCTCATTGTACCACTGTATGGGACAACAAATTAGCAAAGCATAATGCTTTCAAAGATCCCACATGCCTTCGTACAATATCGTAGATCTTCATCTTGATAATTCACCTTACCTTGCAACATATCAACGCTCCTTGAAGCTTGGCAGCTCGTCACAAGTCCATATTCCCATTTCTATTCACCGAACACACAGTGCCCTCATATCAGTGACGCCTGGCCATTCTCCACCTCGGATTTCTTCATACTTCGTCCTGAAATCGTGGCTACCTAGCCGGGTTTGTTTTGCCTATTATCTAGAATCGCCAGGAGCCTTCTTTCCAGGACTATTCATGCGATTTGTTTACCTAATTTAATCCTTGTAGGCGACAATTCTACCACGGTGCGTAGAATTCCTCCGGGTCTTATTTACAGTGGAAGACAATATGCCTGCGGCCAGGTAGATCAAAATGGCTTTGATGTCTGTATTCGAACTCATTCAAGGGCTTCTGTGAGGTGCTCACACAACCTACAGTAGCTAATAGCGTTGACGGGCGCGATGATTGCTTCTTCCGCGCTGTCCATTCCGCTGTTGGGTTACCGCAAACTTGACAGTGCGCAAAGCAGGCTTAACCGAATCCAAAGTGTATTTTATCACTGTTGCGTCCGTGGTAGTGTGTGGGAGTTCTAGTGACGCCAATGGTATCGTGGAAAGAAAATAGGCCAGACTGATCATGAAGATTTTAAGCTCGGCGAGCGAAGAGGGAGGTTTGTTGAAAATATATAGTTGATTATAACATGAGATAGCGAAACCAAAAACAAAAGCGAGCGTGAAAGTTAGGTGCAAGAAACTGACGTTGATACATCAAAATATTGACAAAGATGTCCTAAAGCCTGTATTCTAACACCAACTGAAACCGGCACAAGCCCACATCGCAGCCCTGTCATTGGTACTATTACATTCACGACCGTTCCATAGCAATTGTACTCACATAGCAAGAGCATCGCTGCATCACTCTTGAGGTCTACTCTCTTCTACCCTTGGCTAAGCGAGTACCGCCACGAATGAACTGTTTCCTTTCGATACTGGACCTTGCTTACTAGATTCGGACATGGGACACGAGGCGCTTGAATTTACACTATATATGTTAGTATTTGGCCCCTATAGAAGCAGGAAGAAATTGCGCAGGTACCATCCAAATAGTCAGCCGCTATCAGGAGCTCGAGGCAGAGCTCCGGTGGGATGTCCATGTCAGAGACATCTTTGCTCCCAGCATGCTTTTGATTGTAATACAAGTACTCGCAGACTTTTTCAAGCACGACGCCGCTGCATGAAATGTTAGCGTCACACCCAGCTATCGCATGTTAACGGCGCGGGGAGTACTTTATCGTGGGTAGATCGACACGATTTTCCGCGTTCTCACGGAAGCCAGCTAGGTAGTTGACATGATTAGCTTTGCGAGCTTGTCGTTTTCATGGGGCAGTGAACATACACATGGGATCAAGGGCCTTCTTTATTGTCCCTGAGATAGTTGCTGCTGAGCGCAAGATTTTGAATTCATATTCGTCGCTTGAAACCAGGGTAACGTATGTGCTGGTCTTCGCGTCGGTCATGATTTGGGCACGGATGGGCCTGAATTGTGTTGTTCAATATTGAAATGGTGAGGACTGGATCGTTGGCGTTGCAATGTGGAGGTGCGACAGAAGTGGTGTTACTCTTTGCGAGGGCTGGACGTTCATGGATGTGCAGTCGCGCTGTCACCTGATCTCGCGAATCCCCCACACACCCCCGCTCCCTCCTCCGAGAAGTCCGCAAACTGAGTGGCCGGGCTTGGCATGTCTTCGGGACCAAGATCCGTCCGCACCGTGATCCAGCTGGTCAAGCCTCACGCGCAGAAACAACGTCTCAATACATCAAAATGCCACCTTTTTGGACAGTAGGAACCCTCTTCGGTGCCTCGAGCGTCATGCTCGGCGCCTTCGGAGCTCACGGCCTGAAGCAGCGCATCGCAGATCCCGTGCGTGTTGCGAATTGGGGTACCGCTGCACAATATCAAGTACATCTTCCCCCTTCTGCTCCCCCCTGAATTGCTCAATCACCCATCTAGACAGCTAACAACACATGATACGTCACAGCTCATACATTCTGCCGTCCTCACCTTCGCTTCCGTTGTCGCTCCCCAAAACACAATGGCAATGGGCCTCTTCACCGCTGGCATGACCATGTTCTCCGGCTCCATATACCTGCTAGTTCTCGACCCCCAGCGTTTCAAGTTCCTAGGACCTGTGACGCCATTGGGAGGATTGTGCTTGATTGGAGGGTGGGTTGCTCTGGCGGTTGCTAAGAGGCCTGCCATGCCCAAATTCAAGTAAATAGGGCAAGAATACCGGGAATTGTATCATAGGTGAGCTGAGTTTTATGGGTACAGGGTGCAAGAGGGCGGACATGCAATGTTGATTGGGACGTAGATTGATTGATTGATTGATGTTATTTAACGTCTATATAAAACCTCCCCTAGGGTATAGAGACAGGTCAAGCTCTAGGCTTCTGGTGGTGGTAGGCCACCTGCCTAAGAGACCTGGTTAAGTTAGTTGCGCGCTAGTGGCTGTTAGGCTAAGCTCTTCTGCTAGATAAAGATTATTAGTAAAATAGTTCTTAGGCCCTTACTTTATATCCTATTTTTAAAGATATATAAATAATTTATAAAGATTATAGGTAGCAAAAGCTACCTTTTCTTATATCCTTAGATACTAAGGAAAAGTATAGAAAGTAGAGTAACTAAGGAGACTATAAGAGATAAGGAAAGTATTAGTAGTAAGTAAGAGGTATTACCTTATATAAATATTCTTAAAGAACCTTATAACTTAAAGTAAGGCCTTAAAGTCCTTAGGGCTATTAATTATACTAGTAAGGTAATTAATCCCCTCCCTCTTATAGCTAGGAGGTAGGATTAGGTATTATAGCTATCTATAAAAGATAGCTATAACTTTAGTCTTTTAGTATATTACTATATACTTAGGGGTTTTAGGTTACCTATATATATATTTAGTTTTAGTATTTAGGTAGTTAAACTTCTTATAGTACTACTTAAAGTCTCTATATCTTATATAGATAGCTAGGAGCCTTATAAGGGTAGGGCGTGTTAATTTAAGCTTAGGTAGTAAGGTTATTATACTATACTTATACTTCTATGTTATAGACTAGCCTTAAGGGAGAATGCAATAAGCGTTAATAATAGTATTTAGTATCTTAAAGGAGAGGTAAGCCCTCTACGCCTTTTTATAGGTGTGTAATGTGTTTACTTAGTAGTAGTATTAGACTTAGTCTATCTTATATTAGACCTAGGCTTAGGTATAAGCCTAAGCCCTTTATATACCCCTAACCTTCCCCTATAAACTATTATAAAGTTATCTTTCTAGGGGTTTAGAATTATATCTTTATCTACTATAATCTATTTTAGGCTTTATTTCTATATATTCTTAGGTTTTATTATTATATCTTTATATTCCTTCCTAATTTATAATAGGCCTATATATTAAGTAGTATACGTATATAGTGTTTATACTCTTATTTTAGCACCCTACTATAAAAGTTCTAATATAGCTATCCCCCCCTACTATAAATTTCCTAAACTTACTTTGTTATATAATAGATTTTCCCTACTAATTAGCCCTCTCTCTACCCTTTCTATATTAATCCTACCTATCTAGCCTCTATTATATCTTTATCTACTACTACTACTACTAGTAGTAGGGATCTACTATAAGGTAGTTAGACCTTATACTAGGCCTACTAAGATAAGGTGCGTACTTCTAATATTCTCCCTATATTTCCTATCCTAACTTTTGCTTAGCACGCGTCTCCCTAAATATAGTTACTTAGTAGCTTTATTATTTCTAGTAACTTAGATAATAAGGAATATAATAGTAGCTTTATAAAGCTACTTCCTTATAATTAGTATATTAACTAGCTTTATCTTTTTAGTAAGTATAACTATTAGGAAGGTAGTAGTAAGTTCCCCTTAATTTTTATTTTCTTTATAGCAAGTTCTAACTATATCTAGGGCGCTTATATAAGTCCTACTATTATAGCTATAAGACTTATACTTAGTTAGAAGCTATCCTTACTAATAATCCTAATATTTACTAAGCCCTCTATAACTAGCTTTAGTTTTATTATAGTTACTAGGAGGATTACCTTTATATTATATAAAAGGGGACTCTTAGTACTTTTATAGGGGAACCTACTAAAGGCACCTATTACTAGTTTATACTATAGTTCTACTAGCTTTACTATTATTTTAAGGATCTTATATTAAGGGCTTAAACTAATAATACTATTACTCTACTTACCCCTACTACCTACTTACGCGCTTATAATTAGTATTAGCTTAGTGCTATTATTCTATCTACTACTAGTACTCTAGTATTTCTACTTTAGTCTGCTATTACGCCTTTATATAGTAGTTATAGCAATAATAATATTATATAGCTTACTACTACTACTAGTATTACCTTCTAGCGTATTTACTAGTGTATAAATAAGACCTAGGCCTAAACTAACCTTTATATTAATAAGTGTTGCAGGAGGGATATTAACTGGATCACGGAGCATCTTGATCCGATTAATCCTAATTAATACCCCTGTATAACCCACTATCTAATCAACTGCTAGCTTACTGCCAAGTGCCTAACAAAAAGCAGGAGCTCTAGTAAGGAAGGTTTGCTAATTATTTACCTTCTAGTAAGGGTAGCTAAAGCTCTATATATATAAGCCTGATCGTAGTAGATATAATCTAATAATCCATCTCCTAAATTATTCCTAACCTTAGTAATCTAAATTGCTATAGTTATAAGCCTAGTTCGCGCTTTACCTTATTAAAGATCGTCCTATCTATTTAAGCGTATTGTTTGACTTAGACACTAAGCTAGCAAGCTTTACTCTTTCTTTATACTATTTCTTAAGCAGAAGCTTACTTAATACTCTTCCACCATAAGCGACCAAATCCTAAAGGGGGATATCCTACTTACTAGATTAACCAACTGGCCTACCTAGTACATTCAATTTAGATACTATGCCCTAACTAAAGGGATCTAGGCAGAGGTAGACCCTAATACTTAGGATACTAAAAACCACTTTAAGAATAAACCTATTAAGCCTAACATGCTAATAGATATTACGCTATCTAACACAATAAGCAAGCAGTACAAACTCTAAATAGCTTAGTACTAAGCCTACTTATTAGATTAGGCATTAAAGTTATTAGTAATCTAGAACCTTTTTATATAGGTTAATAATATAGTAGATTAAGGGATCCTTACCCTAGCCTATATAGAGCTTGTTAATTAAGGAAGAGTAACCCTCTAAGCACTTATCTAAGTGCTCCGCAATAACCTAGCGCTAACTAATTTAAGCGCTGCAACACTAGCGAGATTGCAGTACAAAGCTTATCTTGCTAAGGCAAAGATAAGTAGCTAAGATACTAATTACTAGTAGAAGGAGTAGACAATCCTATATACGCAAGCTAAGGTATATAACGTTCCTAATATTAAAGGATAGCTTGTAGTATAGGATTATCTTAAAGCTCTATCTGCTAGGATCTTACTAGATTAGGGTTAAACTATGTTTTAAAGGATTATTAAAAAGTTAGTAATAGGAGAGCTAACTTACAACCTCCTACAGGTTACTAAGATCTATTTATTACTTCTCTAAGAAAATAACATAAGATTAAGCTCTAAAGGTCCTAGAGTGTTTGCAACAATAGGAGCTCCACCTTCTAATTAACCTAAGAAGGAGTCTTTATGCCTATGTAGTAGATCCTACCTATAGAAACCTCCTAAATGCAAAAACGTTATTAAAGCTTAGACTAATATAGGTGACAAGCTTACTACTACTTAATAATTAGAGATTAAGAAAAAGATTAATAGGAATTAAAAATTCAAGGAGTTAAGAAAAGCTCTAATTAAGTCCTATCCTATTAATCAAGATCATGGTGGTGAGGCAAGCACGATTACCTATCTAGGTAGTATCTAGGCAGCACTAATTAACCCTATATTAATAGCGGAGAAAACGAACAGGATCTATTTAACTATAGACTTTAAAGCTTACGCACTATTAAAGAGCACTATCTTTAACAACAGGGGTGTAGTGCACCTAGTTAATAATATAAGCTACCTAGAAGAAAGCTTATTTAGATTAACCAAATATAAGACGGTTAAAGCAGGAACTTAAGCTTTTCTAATCTTAGGTAGAGGGACTAGAGTAATCCCTAATGCTCTTAATAGACTAAGAGGTCTAAAAACAGAAGATTTAGTGCTTACTAACGTAGTGTTAGTAGAAGGTTTTTATATAAATATTATATTAGAAGCTTAATTGCTTAAAGCAGGAGTTTAGTTCCTTAGGCTAGATACTACCTTGCAGTTTAGATTATTAGAAAAGAGCGTTATATTAGCTAAGTTACTACGCAAGTTTAACTTAACTTTCCTAGAATATAAGCCCTCTACCCCTTATTAAATAATCTAAAGCATAGTGCCTAAACAACCCTAACAATCCTAGACAACTTACCTAAGACACAATAGTAAGGAGCTTTAGCACTAATAATTAGGCTATTTAGGACCTAAGGCGCTTAAAGCTCTAGTTAAGCTTAGTAATAAACGTTAGGATTAAAGGAACTCCTAAGAGCAAATGCGAGCACTGCGCTATTACACATGCCTAATAGGTTATATTAAGATAACCAAGGGAAAGATTACTACGTCTATACTATTAGGTATTATAGGATCTATTTAACATACTAACAGGTATAGCTTATAAGCAATAGATCTTAGTATTAAAGTGCGACTACTTAGGAAAACTTTATACCTATCTACTGCAAGCTAAAAACCTTAATAAGATAATGCGGGTCTTTAAAAATTTTAAGAGCTTAATACTTAACTAATATAAGCTTAGCATAGTTAAGATTATGCAAGACAACAACGTTGTAACGCTCCCTTAGCGTAGCGAATCTCGCTTTTAGATCTAGGCAGCTAACAAAGGTATTAAGATTAAGAGCTCACCTATATATACCTATAAACCTAATAGAGGAGTAGAAAGAGCAGGGTAGGAGATTATAACAAAATCAATTAAAATAAGGATTAGTGCTAACCTACTAATAAAGCTTTAGCCTAAAATTGTTAAAGCAGCAACTTAGCTCTACAATATAAGCCTGTCCTATGCTTACAATATAATATTACCTAACAAAGTGCTAGATGTGAAGGGCTTAGGCTTATGCCCAAGCCTAGGTCTAACACAAGACAGACCAAGTCTAACACCACTACTAAGCGAACACACTAGACACCTATAAAAAGGCGTGGAGGGCTTATCTCTCCTTTAAGAT